TTTGGTGTGTGGATGAAATATGGGATGTCTTTAGAGGAGTACTTTGGAATCACAGAATATCAGGGTTGGAAGGGACCTCAGGAGGTCATCTAGTCCAACCCCCTGCTCAAAGCAGGACCAATGCCCAATTTTTGCCCCAGATCCCTAAATGGCCCCGAGTGGTTATTTCAAAGTTTTCTGGAAATAACTGATTGCCGAGTTTACATCTTGTGAGGTTGCCGTCTGTATAGAAGCTGTTTTCTATACATATGCCCTGAGACAGAACACCTAATAACTCTCTTGAAAGAAAATACAGCAAATGTATGTTATTTTAAAATTAAAAAGCTATTTAATAGATACACAGGTATGCTTTGCAAATAAGATACAAAATAAATCCTCTGCAAACAACTATAGGCACAGTACATTGCTTGTGACAATGCCAAAAATAAAAACAAAATCTTAAATTTTCAAGTAGATTCAGAATTAACTCTATGAATCATAAAGTCTATGAACTATTCATGAATTAGTATTTCTGGTGCTGTGACACAATTCCTTTAGAAAATTTGTCTACCCTTAGATAGTCAAGCTGGGGGGAAAGAAGTGTAAAAGATAAGGTGTCACATTCCTGTTCTTCTGTCTTATCAAGATCAAAATCTGCAAGTTAGTAAAAACTGACAGTGAGGAGAGATCCTCAAATAAACTGAATTCAATTAAAAAATGGGGCCACTATACAGAGAGTTATTCGTTTTCATAGTTAATTAATTGGAAATGTCAGTTTTTTAATCTATCTGAAGGTACTGCAGAATGTAGGGTCGGCTTGCTGCAGAGTACCTGGGCCTTTACCTATAGCTTCCTACAGTGGTAGCTAATGGTGAGTTTTAGTGTATGAAATAAGCACAATAATATAGTAGAATTATTTAAAGTGGAACAACACTCTACTTGTCAGCCTATGCACATATTAAAAAGCTGTTCCAATAAAGAGAATAGGTCACTTAAAGAAAATTCTGAAAATAGTTAAAATGAAATAAAATGCTCTATTGAATAAAAATTCACCATTATCTGACACCTCATATAATATGTTCAATGAGGCGTCTGATATCTGTGATGTAATAAGCTCAGATATCTTAAGTAAGTAAGGAAATACCAACAAGAACTCACAGAGGGTAAAGGCAACATGTAAATAGTTAACGTTTATTTCTGTGTTGAATGACTGACAGATTAGTTACTGGGGATATTCAGCACAGAAATCTCAGCACAACTCAGTTTGGATTTTTGCTTTGCAATAAATCACCTGGAAGCATCTCCATTAAGTGGAATTATTCTTCTCATTAAATAGCTGTCATTGCTATTAAATACCATGGAGTTTAAATTGGTTCTCTACGAGAGAGTATTGTCCCCATTTTACAGATGGGAAGAGAGCGTTTAAAGTGTGGGTCCACATTGAAAAGTGTATCATGGAGTTCATAGTCTATTTCAAATGTGCTCATTTTACAAGTAAATAGATGTGGGGGTTTCGTCTAAATGCCAGCCCTGTAAACTCAACCTGATATCAAGCTCAGTCAGGAGAATCTATTTGGATTCTTTCTTTCGTCATCCCTAACAATAATTAAAAGGGTGTCCAAGCTACATTATGCCTGTGCAACTCCACTGGTGACTGCAATTTAATAATTAGTCCCACAAGAAGAAATAGACTCCAGCTCACACCGTCTCAGTTCGGTTGGCTCTGCAATGCTCAAAGGAGTAAGAAAGCAGTAAAAACCTATTTTTGTCACTAAAGTCAGCAGCTATGACTTGGAATACACACTCAGAACAGATCTGTTGAGTAAGAAGGTGCCATTTTTACATAGTCACTTTCCAGAACAGAACTACTCTTTAACTGGCTTGCCCAAGGTCACACATGTCAGTTGCAGAGCCGGGAACAGAGCCCAGGAGTCTTGACTCCCAGGTCCTCGCTCCAAGCTCTGTAAGATACTAGTTCCCTTTCATATGTCTATTAAAAGGCATAAAATCAATGCAGTGAATGCCAAAACACATTACACATTTATACTTTTCCAGGAATAAAATGCTGAAAAAAAGCAAACCAAACTCAGCTGAATATGAACTATCTGTCAATTTCCTGTAGCATTTGGATATTTTACCCCTGTCCTACATACCAAGCTTCAAAAGACTAATAATACAATGTTAAAAGGAAAATGACACATCATGCCAAAGCAAGTTAATCTTAATTGACCATCTTAGGGGTGTCTTGGGGTTTAGCTGTATGACTCTTATTAATGTTAAATGGAGTGGTACCATTGAACCCACATAGAGAGCTTGAAAACTTATCCCAAATATTTCAAAACTGGGTACCTAAAAAGTCACATACCTCAATCCACAGATGTAAATAAAAGTGGCACAACTTTTGGAGCTGCTGAGCACCCAGGGCTCCCACCTACCTTTAAAAAAAAATGCAAACCTTTTGGTAGGGTACTTCACATCCCATCTCTGAGCCTCAAATCTGAGTCATCATCCTCGCTATGCCAAGGAAGACTGGTTGGGACCCCTATGAAAGCCTGACAAATTTGCTATTATTGGCTACTGAGCCTCTCAAAGTATCTCACTGGGCTAATATAGCCTGTCTGTTCACCACTCCCAGTGCCCGATGGCTGAATGTATGTGACTCCAAGACTGAACAGAAGTCCCATGGCTGGGCAAAGTGCACCAATAGGCTACAAGGCCAAGACTTGGTCTTTTGTCATGTGATTGTATGACTATAAATTAGGGTAAATTAATGTTTTGATCCTGGTCTCTCTTTGCATTTTTACATCAAGAAAGACAACCTCTTAGGAGGGTTCTGAGCAGAGCACAGGTTCCTTTGGGGATATCCAAATGAAGCAGAGCTAGTTTCATATAATATGAGGTAGGACAGTCTTACCACTTGGGGAATCCCAAACAGTGGAAGTTCTACTGGGCTTCTTCCTCTAGCTCTGTGGCTAGAAATGAGAACTGGGCCTTGGGTATTTTCTCCTCTAGTCCCTGAAATGGGAGTGGGTTGGAAAATCATTCCAAGAGTTCTGGGAGTTACAAAGGGGCATCAAGCAATCAGCTGTCCTGCTTAAAACTGGTCCTGGCTAAGCACATGAACATTTTTGTGAGGAAAATGGTGAAGTGACTCAGTTGTCTTGTATACTGGGATTAAGAAGGTGTAAAAACAAGAATATGACAAAACTGGAAAACATACCATGTGTGGGCTCAGAGGGATGACTATTTATTTTATGACCGGGAAAGGACTAATCGGATGTTTACCACTGAAATATGTATGGGAGTAATTCAAAATGTAGTGTCTGCACAGATGACGACTAGCATTGCTATATTAAAAAGAATAGATTTTTGAAATTGTAGTTTACTTCTGGGCAAGACCAATTTCATGTTGGATTCACTTTTTGTGGTTTGGGCCCAGAATATTTACACTTTAAGGCAAATTACTTTTCATTTGCATTGCCCACAATTTCACTGCACTGTTTCACTCTAACAAAAGCGATCATATTCCAAGGCTTCCACACAAGAGTAGTTCTCTTTATGAAAAGTGTTTCCTTAGCCCCTCAGGATAGTTCTTTGGCTGCTGCCTCAAACCACCACCATCACTTTGACCGCCATTGCCAATTGCCGAGGGCACAAAACTATTATGTGACATTAACTTGCCTGCAGTACATTCAAAAATACTTTTCCTTTTAACAATGACTTGAGTGCCAATAGAAAAGGAGTACTTGTGGCACCTTAGAGACTAACCAATTTATTTGAGCATGAGCTTTCGTGAGCTACAGCTCACTTCATCAGATGTAGCTCACGAAAGCTCATGCTCAAATAAATTGGTTAGTCTCTAAGGTGCCACAAGTACTCCTTTTCTTTTTGCGAATACAGACTAACACGGCTGTTCCTCTGAAACTTGAGTGCCAATGAAAGTTTAAAGAAACAGGACACTGTGACTGAGAGAAACAGACCGTCAGTGAATTATATACTTAAGGTATTTTTTTAGCAACATTCTGATCTAAAGCCCATTGATGTCACAAAGTTGAAGCAGGGATTAACATAAGGGCTGGGGGAAAACTGGCAGGAAGCACAACTTCCCCTCCTTTCCCTGGCTGGGGTTAACAGTCCCCCCTCCCTCCCCACAGCTCCCCTCTTGTGACATGAAAGCTCCTCTTCCTATTCTGGAACCTACTTCAGGAGTCCTCAATAGGCGGACAGTGGGCCAAATCTAGACAGCCAGACACTTTTGAACAGACCCTGAAATCTTTTTATTTACTTATTATTATCGTTGTTATTTTCTCTGGCGTCTGAACCTGCACTATACCTTGACCAAGAAATTTGGACCTTGACAAAAAATAATAGACTTCCTCTTTATCCAATGCACAGGGCTCGGCCAGTGACCCCCAAGCGCCTGCACCATGCCAAGGATAAGAGGATTGGGGTGCAAGGAGGCAATCCACGCATCTGGTTCCCAAAAGCTCCCTTCTTCAGACTTTGCCAGCAGCTGTCCAGCGTGCCAGGGGAGGAGATCTCACTGACCTGTCCCCGCACCCGCTCTTACACCAGCAACCCCTCCGTGCAGGCGACGTGACAACTGCACCCCCGTCCAGCAGGGCCCAGGCGCTCCCTGGGTAGCCTGCCCCCTAACCCATCCCCGAAGCGACTCCCCACCACGCTCAGCCCCGGAACCGCCGGGGAGTTTGCACGTGTTGTGACCCGGCTCCGCGGGGTGTCGTCCCCCCCCGGCGGCTGGTGCTGCCGCCGCTCGCCCCGGGGCGGCCGCCCGCTGCTTCCCCTCCGTGGCCGCTCAGCCAGGCCATGGCCACCCTGCGCCCTCCGCGCAGCCTGCAGCGGGAGCCGGGGACAAGGCACCGGCGCGGGCTGCAGCCGCCCGGGGGGAGGGAAGCGGAGGCCGCCAGCAGGCGGCTCCTGTGGGCACCGCCGAGCAGGGGCGTGCCCGGCCTCCGCCTCCTGCCCAATGCTGGAGCGGGGACGGACGCCTCATGAATAAGAAATAGCGCCGGGCTCCCCCAGCCCCCTTCCTCCTCCCAGCCCAGCCCCACTGGCCAGGCGAGCCGCCGGCGGCGGGATGGTGAGCGCTGGCGCGGGGCGCGTCCAGGGTGCCTTGGCGGTGCGGCCCGGCGGAAGGGACACGCGGGGCGCCGGTGAGAGGCGGGCAGGGGGGCAGCCCGCTGCGGCGGGGCTGGGAGTCGCAGGGGCTGGGGGCGAGCTGGGAGCTCCGCCCCGCGGGGCGATGGTTGACCGGCTCCCTAGAGAATAGATGCCGTGATCGGTGCAAGGAGGCGGGCCTGGCCGGCCGTGTGGTGCCCGGGGACGGCGGAGCGCTGCGGAGCCTCCTTTGTGTCCCATGCATGCTGCTGCTTCTGGCCTCTGTGTGTGTGTGTGTGTGTGTGTGGTGGGGGGGTCCTCTCTTCCGCCTCCCCCCCCCCACTTCTCACGGGCACAGCACGTTCCCAGCACCAGCCAGCGCTTTGCTGTCGCCCCTTTCTCCTCTTTGATCCCCTAGCCCGTGGCATGCCGTGAAGCTGCCCATCGAATGGGCTTCAGGCAGAGCTCCGTTCCTTTGACTTGTCGACAAGGATGCTCTGGAGTGGCTACACTAGGCTGGCGGCTGGTGCCCCCTTCCCTCCCTCTGCCACTGCCCAGGGAAACAAGGCTATTGTTCGGAATGGCCACTAATCAGAGACCTGGCTAGGTGAGGGGAATGGGTAACCTCCCTGCTTCTTCCTTAGCCTGTTGTTGTGTATAGATGCTGTCTGAATGTCTATGGCTTGCAATGAGCCGAGTGCCAGGGATTAGCAGGGCAGCGGAAGGAGTTGGCACTTGGAGACTGTCAGGATAGTTTTTATTTTTGCATCCTTCTTGCCCATCTTGGAGCTGCTGTCCTCAGTGCAGATTGTCGGCTGTCACGGCATGCCCGGCCTGTCATTCACTGTTAACACAGCTGTTGGATTACCCTGCATTGTCATCTCACTTACATTTTATGCTCCCTTTACAGGGGGGATTTTGCACAGCAGCAGATTTGGGGGAGAGAGAATGCTGGGAAAAGAAATGGACATGGCTGGTCTTTTCCTTTGTTCCCCTCATTGTTGTGTTGCCAGAGGTGTTTGTGTTTCTAAAAATGCTTTCCCCGCAGAGCCCAGCTTCTCCTTTAGCAGGAGTGAAATCACAATCCTGTGTTTATGACATCACAGTCTTTTGCTCTGGAAATAGCTGTGGAGTCACCAAAGCATTATTATGGGGTAGATTCTGAAACTTGGCTGTTTGGGTACAAAACCATGAAGAGCACAGATTACTGCTGCAAAAGCATTTTTAAAAAGGACCGAAAGTATTAGTTCTGGCTCTGTGACTGACTCACTGTGTGTCCTTGGGGATGGTACGTAACCTTTGTGTTTTGCAGTTTCCCTAACAGTTTAATAGGTATAATATTCATCTAATTTACAGCAACTTCTGAAAATGAGCTAGTACTTGTATAGTACTTTTGAAAATGTAAAATTCTATATAAGTGCTAAGTATTATTAATAATATACAATCCTATTCTGCCATGCACTGATACCAGGTACTGTTTCGCGAGGCAGATTGGTCTCTAAGACCACCACAGGGTCAAGTAAGATAAGAATATAGACTGTGAGGAGGAAACCCTTTGTTTCAACACAAACGGCTTCCGGCTTCCGTAATTTGCAGAGACGAGAAACATAGGCTTTTTTTTTGTAAAACCAGAGGTGGGTTGGATCTAGATTCTAATTTTATCTGAATTTATAATGGTCCAGGATGATTGTGTTGGATAAAAGGTTCCAGTTTTTACTGCTCATTAGTAAGGAAAACAATAAAAAAAAACATGCCAAGGAAGCAGATTTATGTTTTATGTGGCAGGTAAGTTTTTATGATTGATAGATTTCCTCAGCATGAAACAAGGTGGTAGCAAGTCCAAAACAACAACTGATATTTTGCTAGCTGTCTCCAGCCAGCCTGCCCACCCTCTGTCTCAGCTGTAATTTAACATGTCTCTGCTCATGCTTTCCCCATACCTTCTCCTCCCCCCTCTGATCACTCAAAAGAAAATGAACATAGAGGAGGACTCATCAGTTCAATTGTAGTGTGGTGTGAGCATCAACATGAAAGGTGTAGAAAGCAAATGGAGATGTTGAGCTTTTTAGTAGCATGGTCAAACATAGGTTATCCTGCTCATTATCAGTCACGCAGTCAAGCAATGGTGGGACTGGCCTCTGTATGAGTAGTAGCATGGGGTGCCCTGCATGGTTGCAGGTATCAGATGAGGTGGTATGCTTTTTAATTTGCGTATGTAGCACCTAGATACCAGTGACAGTTTGGACAGAGATGTTAAGAGCCAATATATGAAGGAACTTGGCTTAAAGAGGACAGGTCTGGCATCTGCAAGAGAGAGCTCATCAGTTGACAGGGACCATGTTAGGAGAGTAAACCAGGACCTGCATGCATAGGGAGGTGTGTGTGGTGGAGAGACCCAGAGGTGCTGGAACAATTTTTATAGCAGGGGTGCTGTTGTTAGATACTATGGTAACCACGCATTTGGTGTTTGTTATTACTACTTCAAGCCACGGGGTGCAGTAGCACCCCTAGTTCCAGCACCCCTAGAGAGACCCCGAAAAGCAGAGTGATCAGAATGATGACTCTGAAATGAAGAAAGAGAGAGTATCCCTGAAGCAGAGAGCCCATAGCTGTTAGAGTGAAGCTTCAAGAAGAAGTGTGGAAGTTGCCCTGCATATTTGTCCATCTATCTGTATATAGATATACAGAGATAACAAAGGATTTATATAGATAAATATGTAAACATCATATGTAGTCACTGACAAAACAAGATAATATTACTGTTTGAGAATGATACCATATGAGACATACTGTGCTGTTTTCCTTTTATTTTTCCATTTCTTTAAAAAGACAAAAACTGCAATAAAATATACATTTAAAAACCACAAATGACCCTAGGGGAGATGAGAAGGGAGGGTGGAGATGTCTCTGGCCTGGACCATTGTAGTGCAGATAGATGACTGATATGGAGGTTCTGTTTTGCTTGGTCTTTCATCCTTTTTAGGGCAGATGCCTGCATAGAATCATAGAACCATAGAATATCAGGGTTGGAAGGGACCTCAGGAGGTCATCTAGTCCAACCCCCTGCTCAAAGCAGGACCAATCCCCAAGTAAATCATCCCAGCCAGGGCTTTGTCAAGCGTGACCTTAAAAACTTATAAGGAAGGAGATTCCATCACCTCCCTAGGTAAAACATTCCAGTGTTTCACCACCCTCCTAGTGACAAAGTTTTTCCTAATATCCAGACAAAACCTCCCCCACTGCAACTTGAGACCATTACTCTTTGTCCAGTCATCTGCTACCACTGAGAACAGTCTAGAGCCATCCTCTTTGGAACCCCCTTTCAGGTAGTTGAAAGCAGCTATCAAATCCCCCCTCATTCTTCTCTTCTGCAGACTAAACAATCCCAGTTCCCTCAGCCTCTCCTCATAAGTCATGTGTTCCAGTCCCCTAATCATTTTTGTTGCCCTAGAACTGGTAAATAAAGTAGCTTGTTTCTTGGAAAACTAAAGACATTTTGGCTTCTCAAAGATACATGTTTGATGCCATAGTGAACTTATCCATAGGGACACAGTAGATTGCATATGAGCGGCAGAATGATAGTCTTTTTCCACCCTCTTGCTTAATCTGATGGGCATGGTTGTTATTGGCTCCTTTTTTCAAATCTGTCTTATTTCCTTGGGATCTGGCTGGAAGCTGTCAGCTGTGAGAGCAGGCCAGCTAGTTCTAGCTTGTTGAGGTTTGTTTATCTGAACTAACCGGGAATGAAAGGTGTTCAGATGTGTGCTGTGTTGGAACACTGAATTGGCAATAATTTAGCATGAGGCGAAATACAGGAATTTGTCCATAAAAAATATGGCAAGAGTTAGAATTCTGTAATGTCAGACACTGATGTGTATAATCCCTTGGCTTTTGTGTCCATCATAGTGGGTAAAGCCTTGGGGGCAGTGTGCATTAGCACTCCAGTGTTATGGAATTTGATTGCTGGCAATGACTCTACTGTGTGTTTTGCACATATTTTCATATTTATATTGAGGAGTTCCAGAGTTTTTCCTCATATTCTTTTTACCAATCAGCAGATGAATCACCCTGTTAAACACATATGGGATCATTCAACTGGGCAAAGCTGGTATAATCAAGCTTGCACTCAGAGATGTGGAGAGCTGTATACCACAAAGGTCATCCAGTGATTTGTCTGAAGCTGATGACTTGTTAATCCTCTTGTGCTTTTTCTACATGACACATGCAGTCACTTCAGTAACTTCAGAGCACAAGCGTAATCTTGAGACGTGGAAGATGGACCAGCAGGGCAATTGTATTTATTCAGGTGTCTAAAAGCTTGATGCTCAGCCCCTGTCAGAATGTTTGCAATTGGAAAATTATGGTCAGAACTTACCAAAGGCCAGAAAATAGCAGAGAGGATAGTTTTCCGTGGAAACCCCATCAGCTGAGATATTTAAAATTGGACTGGACAAAGTGCTATAAAATCTATTGTAGGGAACAATTATGTAGTAGCAGGGGATAAGCTTTGATCCCCAATAGGTCTTTTCTGTCATTAGCTTCTGTGATTCTCTGACAGCTATTTGCTGTTTGTTGTATACATTCACCAGCTCTTTGGCTATGCAGTGGGTGACTTTCCTGAATGGGGAAGTCATCTGTGATCTTCACTCCCCACCTGTCTTCCCCAGCCCTGCTGTGTGAAAGTAACTGTTGTATTTGAGGGATGGGACTTTCTCAAAGCTGAATCTCAATATAAAACAAGAACTTCCTGACAGTGGTAACTCAGAACCTGTCATCACTCTTAAACAAAAAAATTGACTCTTCATGTATTGAGATTCACTTATGAGAAAATGTCCATTTTAGTCAGCTGTGATAATTGCCTTAACACCACAGGGCTGGTGCTGTAGCCTGGCTCAATCTAATCTAATCTATCAATCTTATTCTAATCTAAGAACAAGCCTAATCAACACTGTTCTTAAAACAGTGCTGCAGCTGGTGGTCTGT